ATTACAACTTTTAGTATTCTGCGTATATATCCATTTATGAAATTGATCTTTAATTAATTAGAAATTATTGTTCACTATGGTAACGTTGAACTACATTATAAAGTAGAAACGAGTTAGTAGTAGGCTAAAGATAGAATCTCAAATCACAAAATTAAATCAATACGAAAACAGATTTGCATACTATTTTCAAAGTAAATTTTATTATGAGATGGAATAAAATGAAGAAATACACCAAAATACATAATCTCTGTTATGAATGCCTATGATCTGGTTTACAGTATTCAAAACAAGCCGGATTATCATAATATACCGTTTTAATTCTCTAGCGTAAATATTATGAGAAATCTCTAAATAAAATCAAATATTTACTTTAATAACAGAATGGTAATAACTACGTGCCCGTTTCAAAGACAACACTTATATAAACAACATAAACAGTATTGTGAGGACATTAGAAAGTTAATCTACTGAGCACAAATATGATGTTAAATTCAGATTTTGCTCAGATGATAGTGATCTGTACATCTGCTGTTCATTACTTTTGTTCTCACTGAAAAAATGAATAGAAAGATGAAGCTGAAGGTTTTGGCTGATGAGGCAGACTATTCAGACTAATGTTTATTAAACTTATAATTCATTGCTAACTTAGCAGGATACATATATAGAAATCTAAAATGACTCTAAATTTATTGGTGTCAAAATTAAATTGAATTTCGCTACCAACCTATTACGGACGTAATTATACACTTTAAATTTTGAGCTGGCCGTAATTAATATAGTCTTTCGATTTTTATGTTGACAATTAACATAACTGACAATGTATTTTAGTGCACTGAAGTCTTGGCTACTAATAATCCGGTCATCCTAATGCATTTACGAACTATAAGTTCTTGTTTTTACAAGCGATCCTATGCACATTGTGGATTTTTTTTCTGTAATGTTAAGTTTGCAACTTTATACCTAAGAACGTAATGTATTGACAATTTTACAATTCCAAAAGCCTGGAACATTTCAGTTTCTCTAAACAGTTTCGTGAAATGATTGTCTATCAATAGAGGGCATGAATGAAATTTATTGTCATGATGAAGAGGGGTTCGTGAGGATTATTTTAGTTTGTAATTACTATTTGTCACAGATTGATCTTAGTTGGAGTACCATCGGAAGCCCGAGAGCACTGCACATCTATTTCACCCTAATATGGAATCTACTATGGCGAACATGAACAATTCTTGTGGTTTTGATTGGTTGATCTGACTATCTCCATATTTGTACTTCTCTCCTTATCTGCTTTTAATTAGTCACTCTGAATTGATTAGTTTCCAAAAGTCATTCTTTCATCTTGTATAATTTAATTGTCTTTATCACTTTAGCACAGTCTAATGAGAGCATCTATATAAAGAAAGGTTAGGCAACACTTAAATGTTCACCTGTATGGAGTCGGTGTACGGAGTTGCAACTGACTGCATGTTGAATACGTTTTTGAGCAAAAGTCTGGATTGAAATTATGATAACCATTACACTAACATAAACCAGACTACTAGTTTTTGTTTTTCTCTGGTTACGTAAGCTTGAGATAATTTTTTTCTCCTCACATAAATCGGAGACCATTGTATTTTATGGGCTATAGGAATTTACTTTACATTCATCTTTAAATAAATAAGACATAACAATAACAATATATTTCCCACATAGAACGTGTGCTTACTTTTATTGGCAAAGTTCTTGCAATAACAAACTGGTTCCCATATCCGTATTAAACATTGAGAACTGGATAAATATTTTAACTTAGTCTACTAACCCTCGTCTACTGAGTAAATAAGAACTCGTGTTTTCAAAATCCAGTACGACTTTACTACTTTATGCTATGCTGTTGGTTGGCCTAGGAGCTAACATTAAAACTAAAATGTAACGGAATACAAACCAAGCCTTACGAGTGCTAATTTTATCCTAAATCATCAATGCATAAACGACGGGAACGATCAACAAAAATGATCAAAATCAAGCTTAAACATTCGATAAAATGACATGCTGCAATGTTTTGGCTGGAGTTTTGTTCTTTGAGCTGGATGACTTGTGCTGATGATGTTGTTCAGAATAGCAATGAAATCTCCACGACCAAACCAAATAATAATTATAATAATAATTATTATTATTAACTAGACGAAATCTCCTACCATGCATCTTATTCACACGATTAATTGTGTTACTATTATATTGGTTATAAAGAATCATTCTGACCGTTATTAGATAACCTTTCTTGTTTACAAATAACACAATTTTGAAGTATTTATGTCGTAACAAATGCAAAAGTTTGCCATTTTCAACATATAGCATTGTCAAATACGAACTTCACAAATTCGCATACTGATAACAATCATGTACATACTAGTGACTAGCTTGAAGATGGGTTTTATGGAGTTCTAGTAAGAAGTTGTGGCCAGTGCAGTCCGATATGTGTCGGGTGGAAACAGGTATCCAATTCAGACAATGAATAAAGGGTTGTACGATATCATGAATTGATTGGAGTTAGACATTAACACCGTTGAATGCCGGCTCAGTGGTCTAGAGGTTAAGCGTTCACGCGCGAAACCGAAGGTCCTTCATGGATGTACACTGCCGAGGAGTCCCATTCTAGGACGAAACGGCCGTTTAGTGCCTCTAGATTCTCAATAGCAGTCTAGCCTAGATTGACTGATCATTTTAACTGTGAGAATACTACGATCTCCACACATCCTAGTACTGATGAATTCATTAATCCAGGCTTTATTTTACCCTTTGTAAAATATCACGATAATTATGGACTTATAAATTTAAAGCCTAATGACGAACTAATCCAAAACAATTGTTCGCTCAAATAATCTTTCTGTGAATATTTTATGGGGATTTTTAAACTGCGTAAATATATGAATTGATAAGAGTTAAAACATCTCAAAACGACTACTCACCTCCAAGTTTTACATTTCCAACCCTCTAATTCAAAACGTTTGAGAGTCTTTCTGAGTTTGTTTGCTCTGAGGATTTTTGATTGCAATTGCTTAAGACCTATAGTTAATTAATCGATGCATCATTTGAAAATGTTTCTCGATTTATACCATTATGTACATATTACTTACTGAATACATTGTTTTATGATTTTAGAGCTTGACTTTTGATTATACATTTTGCTAGTCGACGTGGGATAAATAGTATAAAAAAATTATTAAACTGCTAGGTACAGAATATCGTCAAATTGCATACTAATCTTTCAAGTACAAATTATTGTTTCCAAGTAACTGTTATGGTTTCCAGTCAGTGAAATAAAATAGAATGCTTGAAATTTCTAAGTAATTATTAATTTTCCTTGGTTGAAATTTATTTTTAAGTCTGAGTCTTAAAAGAATTACTTTTCAATCGTGTTTCTGCTACCTATCGGTTAACGTTAAAAACAACTGTCTGTTCAACATCTGTAAATTTGATTGAAGAATTCATTACATAAGCATCTTGGATTTATTTGTGAATACGAATCATATTTCTTAAGTTGCGTACATCTTGCAATCATCATCCAATTTCTCATATTTATGTGCTATTAGTAGTTCGTGTAGAATAAACCGCCATCTTGTCAATGTATTATTTCAAATTAATTGACCCAAAAACATAGACGATATCGATAAAAAGGTTTAATCGAGGATTTCTAATATGTCCTGACATTAGGTAACACTTAAGCCACAACTAACTAGTAGTCTTTCGTACACATGTGATAGTAATAATATGACATAATGGATCACCGAACACTAAGGTTACATTGGTATCTAGCTTCAGTTCATTTTTGTATCAGTTGGACATAAAATTTATTGATTTTGTAAAGTTGTTTACCACGGACATCACTCACTGATCGATAAATTGTCATTCAATTCATATAAAAATTGTTGTTTATGCGTTTGTTTTTCAAAATGAAGTTCTAATTATTAGACTGATTACCATGTTATCTAATTCTCACTAATGGCAAAAAGATTAAATTTATTGTCACTTCTTAGCTGTACCTACTAATCATCAGTACACAAAATATAAATATTTTCGAATAAACTATGCAAAAACTATTGTTCTACATTTAAAAGGTTTTCTCCATTATATTTAGTATGTTTGTTGTGCTGACACCGTCATAAGTCGAATACAGATTTACATTATTCACATATGTAATTCAATGAGCATTTCCTAATTTTTTTAGTGACGGTAAGCAAGTATCTATTTGTGTGCTCGCATGCGCTTGGTGAGAAATGCTAAGAAAAATTATAATAACAACAATTATTATTTTTTAAGTTGATTCCAAATCAAAGAGAACGGAATTTCGAGTCTTGAGTGCTATCAATCGATAAGTTCTTCATTATAATAAAAGTGATGGCTGAACAATCGTTGGTACATAGTTTTTTATCAGAATGGGGGTTTGTGAAGATTGTAGTAATCTTAATAGTTGAATTCATGAGTCGATCTAAGCTAGACTATCATTGAAAACCTGAAAGCACTGGATGACTGTTTCATCCTTGTATGGGTGCTATAAATGTGAATGCAGATTAGAGGGTAGCGAATTATCGACCGGACCAAAGACGCGCAAAGACGTAAGAACAGCCTAGGATTCTGGTTGGTCCCGCTTCCCTGACAATTTTGGCCGTCACTAGCTATCCTTTTAAATCAAATCTACTACTGCTACTATCTTTGATAGCGTTCATAACAATCAGTGCTCCATATCTCTGTAGTAATTATCACAATATAAATGAAAATCTATTTTAACAACTTTATTTGTGTTTTATGTGTTTTCCATCAGAATTCTTCTTTTGTTTTCTGTTTTTTTTATCTTATAACCGTTAAATGCTTTGTCGTATTGTTTCGTTTGTTTTCATTTCTTCCTCTTTAATTTCAATGTTAAGTTGAAAAAACTATCTGAAACTATCAGATTTGTTTTACTGATGTAACATTTTACATTACCGTCATAATTTACAATAAATTATGTTTGATTTTATGTTTAGCATTCAATTGGAAAGAATGTTTGTGAACCCTCATCTTCACCACATAAAAGAAATATGAATCGTCCGCTCTGTGGAATAGCTTTGTTTGGTCCGAGTGAGTAATTTCTTTTTTTTTAAGAATTTCGAACCCTATATAATTTGTAAACAGAATACACCCACTGAGACATAAAATAAGGAAGATAGGCTCTGAGAAGGGTTCTCTTTTCGAACGAGTCATGTTCCAAGATGTACAGCTGTAAATGTATACTTATTTTTCAAAATGATAATAATAACTAATAACGATAATAAAATTTTGTTAAATGATAATTCTGCCGAAGCACATAACTATACGTGTAACAGTAGTTAAAAAATAACGATTGGTCTAAAGAACGGTCTAATTATTGAGGAATAAACATAAATTGGTTGAAAACCTCAACTCGTGGGATATCTGTGAAGATCAAAGAGTTTACAAGTCTGGAAAGAGAAAGGACTTTTCTAATGATAACATAACTAGTAATGACAACACATGATTGTGTCAATGACAGATGTTTAGTGTTATCAACAGTTTTATCAAAAATCAAAATGGGAACTAAGAGCACACGAATGTGGAAAATAGTTCTTTAAGAAAAAGATTAGAAGAATACAAAACAAAGAAAATGAGTATTATAGTGGTTGAAAGTTATCATAAAAATAAATATTACTTGCTGTCTACGCCTATTAGCCTTCGTAGAGGAAATAGGCTGCCCACTCACATTCCCCATCCAACTCTATCCTTCCCACTTGCTATTCATTCTTTTGATGTCTGCTTCCGATTCCCGACGTAGTATGTTCTTCGGTCTTCCTTTGCCCCGTTTCCCTTCACGATTGCCTTGTGATGCAATTCGGTGATTTCTTCAATGCATATCCAATCCATTTTCAACGTCATTTTCTAATTTCCTCTTCAAATAGAACCTGGTTTGTTCTCTCCCATAGTAGACTGTTGCTGATGGTATCCGGTCAACGGACACTGATTATCTTGCGTAGACAACTGTTTACAAATACTTGTATCTTTTTGATGATGGTTATAGTAGTTCTTCACGTCTCAGCTTCGTACACTAGGACTGCCTTGACGTTCTTATTGAAGATTGTGACTTCGATATTGGTTGAAAGTTGTTTTGAGTTCCATATGTTCTTCAGTTGAAGGAATGTGGCCCTTGCTTTTCCAATCCTCCCATTTACGTCTGCATCAGATCCTCCTCGTTCATCGATGCTGCTTCCCAGATACGTAAATGTTTCCACATCTTCCAGAGATTCTCAACCAAGTGAGGTTGAGTTGGTGTTCTCTGTGTTATATTTAAGGATCCTGCTTTTTCCCTTGTGTACGGTGAGGCCTACTGATGCAGAGACTGCTGCCACACTAGTTGTCTCCATCTCCATTTGTTCGTGTGCATAGGACAGAAGAACCAGGCCATCTACGAAATCCAAATCGTTTAGTTCCACTCAACCTGTTCATTTTATTCTGTGCTTCCCACCTGATGTCGAGCTCTTCACCATCCAGTCAACTACCAGAAGAAAGAGAAAGGGAGGCAGCAAGCAGCCTTTTCTGACTCCGTTCCTCACTTGGAATGCATTTGTCAGCTGTCCTCCATGCACCACATTGCAGTGTAGTCCGTCGTATGAATTCCGGGTGATGTTGACGATCCTCTCGGGTTCACCATAGTGTCGAAGGTGTTTTCATAAGATGCTCCTATCAACACTGTCAAATGTTTTCTCATAATCGAGGGAGTTGATGTATGGTGACGAATTCCATTCAATTGATTGTTCAACGATGATCCGTAGTGACGCGATTTGGTCTGTGCACGGCCGATCCTCACAGAATCCAGCCTGTTGATCTCGAAGTTGGGTGTCTACTGAATCTTTTATATTGTCCAGTAACACTCTGTTGGGAACCTTTCCTGGTACTGATATTGGTGTGATTCCTCTGTAGTTCTCACATCTGCTCAGATCTCCTTTGTTTGGCATCCTGATGAGATATCCTTTCTAGTCTGTCAGCACTTGTTGTTCCTCTCAAATCTTCCTTAATAGAACGTGGAACATGTTTGCAGTTATTCCGATGTCTGACTTTAGTGCTTCGGCTGGTATATTGTCAGATCCTGCCTCGGTTGGGGCACCACACACAAACCAAGTGACTTGTGTGGGGCATATTTATTCGGTGCCCCGTTGTACCAACATTTATGTGTCCACATAAATATGTAATGAATAATTGTCAGGTCCTTCTGCTTTCTCACTCTTGATTTGTCTGATGGCCATCCTGATTTCTTCTATCGTTGGTGGAGTGATATGTATAGGAAGATCTGTAGGTGTTGCTTCGATATCCGGTAGATTTGTGGAATTATGGTCTAGTTCGCTATTAGTACTGCTATAATGATGGACCTAATCCTAAAATTGTAGACTTTTCATGACGTGACTACCTAATATATGATATCTTCCGTGGAATCCTCATCATTACCTTCACTGACTTGTCGTACCGCAAGAGTCAGCAGCATAACGTCTAGTGCTTTTGAAGAACACATTTGGGCTAAAGATAGAATAATATATTTAATGTGAGTAAAGATAAGTTATGCAAACTGATCACGTCTGCAAGGCTGGGCCATGCCATCTGATTGAATGAACGAATGTTCCCGCATTCTCCATCGTTAACCTTCTCTTCGTGTCAATTGTTGAATATAAATCTTTTCAGTAATTATACGCTCGGCTTCAAAGGTCGTGTGGTTAGGGCCCAATGCCACTACAGATTCAATGAAACCGGTCTATTCAAGAGTTCCTCGAAGTGTTCCACCCTTCTGTTCTTGAATCTCAGTGACTGTCTTGCCTTCCTTGTTCTTGACCAATCTCTCTGGTTTCATCGTTTCTTCGTCGTGTCATATAGTTGTTTCATATTTCTTTCTCTTGCAGTTTTCTCTCTGTCGTTGCTAGCTCTTTCACATATTTCTGCTTGTCGACTCTAATGCTTTTGTTAACTTGCTTGTTTGCTTCCGTGTATTCAGCTTGTGCCTTGACTTTCTCTGTTCTGGTTCAGTTGTTGTTAGTTGATGTCCTCATGTTCTTTCTTTTTTGAATCTTGTCGAGGGTTTCGATAGAGATCTATTCCTTATGATGATGCTTCTTGCGGCCCAGCACCTCCTGACACGTTGAAGTTAGTGCTTCTTTGATCCTTTTCCAGTTGTCCTCTATATTAGTTTCTTCTGTCAGTAAACCCTGTAAGGCGTGGAACCTGATACCGAGATTTATCTTGAATTGGTTGAGTTTTTCACTATCTCGTAGGAAAACTGTATTGAACCTTTGTAATGCTGTTTTTCCAGTTTTTAATTGCTTCTTTAGCTTCAGTTTCAACTTGGCAAGCACCAGGTGGTGATCTGAAGCTATGCTAGCTCCTTTTCTGGTTCTCACGTCTTCGATTAACCTTCTAAATTTTTAGTGATGTAAATATGATCTATCTGATTCTCCATAGTTTGATCCAGTGCGATCCATGTGGTTTTGTGTATACTTTTGTGTTGTAATAGGTTGAGTGCACACAGATTTGCTTGTATCCCAACAGCCTCGTTCTTTTCTTCTAGTCCATGTCGTCCCATGATATATTCATATCCGTTGTCGTCCATTTCGACTTTGGCGTTTAAGCTCCCATCAGGACTGTCAGGTCCTTTCCTGGGCATTTCGCTATGATTGATTGCAACCTCTCATAAAATTGATTTTTATCGTCATTGTTGCTATCCTTGGTGGGTGCATAACATTGGATAACACTAATTGTGATTCCCTTCTTTGGACAGAATCAGAGCATCTCCCTGAGTGTGTGGAGCATTTTCCTCTTCGTGACCTGAGTACAGCAGCATCCCTCCCGTATCTAACCTTTTCTGTCCAGCTTGGGTCCAATGGGTTTCGCTGATTCCGAGAACCACCAAGTTGTATCTCTTATTTCCGTTGCTATTTGACTGGTCCTCCCGGTCTCCCACATTGTCTGGAAGTTCCATGTACCTACAGAAATTGTTTATCTGGTTTTTAAGCAAAGATGTATATTTGCTAGCAGTGGAATCCAGGACGCGCGTTTTGTCCTATTTGGGACTCGTCAGTTGGATGTACCTGCATCCCATATACCAACAAGAGACTGATCAATTGCAGTCCTAAATAACAATAGGAAGATACGAGTAAAACAACACCAAGTGTTGCTCTGGTTGTCAAGAGTGGCATCGGTTTCGTGACTTCCGAAGAGTCTTGGCTTTCATCATGAGGCGTCATAATTCTTCTTTCAACTCAGAGGGCAGAGTTTAAATTATTTAATTTATTTGTTCTAGTTGGTGTATTTTTAGCAATGTTGTTTTCTACGGGATGGTGTTACCGACCCCGTGCCCAACCCCTCTCCTTTATGTGGGCTTGGGGTGGGCAGTAACCCTAGAAGAGGTACAGGAGGAGTTAACAATAAATATAGTAAATTTAATAAGTGTATGCAAATAATTTAGGATATTGCACGACAAACTTCCATTATATCATACGCCTAGAAATTATTAAAAATAGAACTGTTTATTGAATATGAACAAGTAGTATAAAGCGATACACAAAATATAAGTCGGATGAGATGAGAATACTGACGGAGATTTCTGACTAACTTAACAGTAACAGTGACGTAAAATATATAAAGGCATGAAAACATTATTTTTACTAAGGAAACCGACAAAAATGCTGTTTTTGTTTGCTCCAAGGTTCATTCTGAAGCTAAACAAAGAACTATAATTGGAAAGGTAATGCTCAACGTGATAAGGATCATCGAAACAAAAACATATTAGCTTTGCCTTAAGGTTTATAGAGAAGATAAGTAGGGAGCAGATGTCTGTGAGAGAAGAAAGAAGAAGGGAATTGCGAGATATTTAGACTATGGTAGAATAATTGATTTTACAAACTTTATTTTTACGCAATTCTGTTTTTACAGATATGTAAATTGACAGACTATTGCTGAACATTGTTTAACTTCAAAACAATAATCCAATGGTTTCTGCGAAGATTACTCCATTGAGAGAGTCGGAAATTTCTCTATTCAGGATACCTGTAGCTTTGAAATCGACGTCCATATATAGGATTTTCTTCGGTACGGCAGCTATCTGTGCTTTCGCAGCTCTGTGTTTTATATTCTTACTAGTATAGGACTTGTGGAGATTATTAAGTTTGTGATTGAGATCATGAACCATTTGATCTTAGATCATCACAATTAAAAACCTGGAAGCACTGGACGGCCGTTTCGTCTTATTGTGGGACTCCTCAGCAGTGAGCATCCACGATCCCGCGAGCGGGATATATTCTTGTTGATTAAATATTCTGTGGATCTGCTTTTTTGATAGGTATTTTCTTTAGGAGCTTCAGTTCATTATCTATGACCTAGGGAATACATATTATTTGTATACGTGTAAACTACGATTTAAACTAATTGAGACCCACGTGTGAAAGCTTGATAGCTGGTCATCCCACGATAGTTCTGCGTAAATTGATATTCCTATAGACCCATCGTAATTCTTTGTCATTTCAACACCAAGATATAGAATACTTTGTTTGTTTTTAACTTCTAATGTGAAATTTATTGATGGATAACAGTTATGAATGTCTGTGGGAGATGCTTCAAATCATATTTATTGTCACAAATAATATAAACATCATCCATGTACTTTTCATACAGGTGTAAGCTGTCAAAAGTTGTTTTAAGTTGATTGTTTTCCAAACTGGCCATGAAACAGCCAGTAATGAACCAAGTCGAGATCCCATTGCTATGCCATCCCTTTATATATAAATTACGTCCTTTTATGAAAATTGTACACTAAAAGTGCATTGTACTAGTAATTCTTTTAAACAGGATTTTGGCAGTCCGGTATTAATTCCATTATCATCTATGTATTTGCAGATAAAGTTAATGGTCTCTGTAAATGGGACAATAGTGAATAGCGATTCGACAACAAATGGAAGGATAATTTTGCTACTTACATTCACTTCTTTTATGTTATCATTGAGTTTAAAAGTTTCCTGTAGAGAGTGCATACAAAAACGTTTTCTTACGGTTTTCAGGAGATCTGCCAGCCACTTTTCTATAGAGTGATAAGCAAATCCGGACATATCAAGAACTGGTCGGAGAGGCAGACTAAGTTTGTGTACTTTAGATGGACTATATAGTCGTGGTATTAATGGTCCTGTTGGTTTTATGTGCTCGTACATACATCTTCGTTAATTACAGGAACATTATTCATTCTCTTAAGAATTTCATTTAGTTCGGTCTTGTTTTTCTCAACCTTACCAAATATGCAGCTCGATTAGTCGCATAACATTCTGACCTGATATCTTTGTCTTAAATGTTTGTCTCTGTTTTGTTTGAGTGTTTCAGAGTGTCCTGGATGTAGTTCAGCTGGTATTGAATAACTTATATCTCGTTTTAGTTGACAATTAGGTGATTTCACCACTAAGTGTTTGGAAAATAAAAGTATACCAGCAAGATCCATGAAAGTCTAACGATGAAAACAGTTTACGAATTTGACGTATGAGAGATAATTATTTATTTAACCAATATGAATGTAGGGAAAAACGAATGCGAAGGGGTCATAATAGTAAATGATTAATAAGAATAAAAGATCAGGGTATCAAGAACTAATTACTGAGTATGAAGTATTGTATTAAGAGTATAGGGTAACAGTAAAATGAAAGATTTCTCGTACAGCGTTTTTACGTAGAGTTCAGGTTTGAACAGCTCAATAGTTAAACCCTCTTTAGTTCACAACTGTTTTATTTGTACTCATTTCGATCCCAACTCTTTGACCGTATATATTGTTTAAAAGGATAAATCTGCTGTGACAGCTTGGGTAGGACTGAAGACATGTTCCGAAATTTAGCTATCGATTGTTTTGGATTCTCTTTATGAAAGCTTTGGACAGTAATGCTCAGAGATAAGTTTAGAAGTCCATCGCTTAGTAGGGCTGATGTAATCTGCTCCAGAAGGAGCAATAAACTGATAGATCTACATTGGTTTGATCCAATACAGCACTTGATCGGAAACTTTGAAAGTAATTCAGTCTTTGTTAACATGCACTCAATGACTGAGCAAATTTTAGTCCTTAATATCAGCGACTGAATAATACAAATCCTTATGGATAAGCGTTCCATATGGAGAATAAGTTCGTGACCTTCTGGACTCAGCAGTTTAGTGGACAATGAGTTGGTGTTAGGTACTGAAACAAGGTCTCAATATGCACATTAAAAGTGGGATGCAGGTACATCCAACTCACGGGTCCCAGATATGGTAAGACGCAAGCTCTGAGTCTCAATGTCAGACACAATCCAAATATACTGGAAACTTTTAACTTAATGTCAATACCGATACATCAACTCGGGATGCGCATATGCCGACAAATACTGGTCAAACTTTAATCTTCAACATTATAAACTGGATAATATAAAATCCTTATGAATAGATCAAACAATAAACTGTGAATTCTGTGCAAGTGATCGCCTGCTTCCGATTCTTTATGCAGTCGGACATTTATTAGTTAAGCTCCTTAGGAATTAAGTTATTGATTAGCCAAGTTTAATTGTGGTAATATTCCCCGACAGTTTCGGTATTGAACCGAAAACTAACTTCACAACTAATAACATTACACTCCACATTAAAGTTTTATTCGTGTCAGGGTGATGTTTTCCCTAAGCTACCGTGTAAAAACGAGAGGAAATAAGTATATTCTATGTATCAATCGTTGGAAAGTGGACAATATTGTTGAGGAGGTGCACCAACCTCATTGTACAAAACTGATACATTTGTTATCCCCTATTATTAACCTCACGTAACTCTTAACGGTACTTTCGAAATAACACATGAAGAATAAGTGTTTATATAAGAGAATTATAAACTTGACCAAACATTTTGTTTTTACTTACCAACAGATATTTTTTATGACTTCAGGAAATGAAATTTTTGGTGAAATGAAAAACCGACTAAAATCAAGATCAACTGGACATTCAGATACTAAAGAATCTCCTTCAGAAATGTTGACGAACAATGCAGTTGAACAGAAGGAACCATCTTCATATGACAATACTTCTTCTAGCACGTCAGCGAACTCCAGTCCCAGATCATCAATATATGATGATTTTGAACAATCTGAGTCGAAAACGGTATCAGATATTTTATTGGTGAGCTGTTTATTATCTATTGGTGACTTATAAGTTTCCACTTGTAATCCTAAACCGTGTACACTTCCATTACGTAACCATTTATCAGTTAACTTTCTGTCGAGAAAGTTTTTCTGATCTTTTGGAGAATTTAAAGTACACGAATCATCGGTCGTATACTACGGTATCAATTTCTACTAAATAATTAAAGAAATTGTCTCCAGATTGAGGCTTATAAATGGATAAATATTTATAAATAATGGGGATAAAAGTGTGAGATCTACAAGTGGGAAGTATAGTGTTTCACGTATCTTATATGACACCCAGTATTATCTAACAGACATCATTTTCAATGGAAATAACATTAGGACAATAATCGTATATTTTATGAGTGCACAAAGACACTACGATCTTGTTTTCGTTATAGGCACCTTGTCTGAGTTTTGAGTAGGTCGATGGATATAGTGTGATAGTTCCTGTGTAACGAACTGATATCAAATTTGTTCATCTTCGGATTTATTTTGATTTGATATGAAGCAAGATGTTTCATGTTATTAATGAGAGATTACTGTATTTCCGCATAACCTGTAGTTTTAATATATGACACACAGAGGTTTTTCACTGTTATACAAATAATAATTAAGGATAAGAGGCAGAATATGAGTGCAAGTAACCAGTCTTAACACAAAGTCATGACATGACGAATCCGACCGTATTGAATAACACTTACACATGACTATTTGCTGTTACACAAAAGATTAACTATTCACCTGTCCTTTTTATCGGCGTTTTCCTATTCTTATCTATCAGTAATCGATGCGGACTTTCCATAAGTATATTAACAAACAACTCAGCGACATATCGAGTCCCTAAGTTCGTCAGTTGCCGCATTTGAAGTTCATCACAATTTTATGCGAATCTCGATTTCGATCGTGTAAGAAATTTATATTCTACACTTTTCAGTAAGCTAAATAAAATAATAACTTTATTATTGCATAGTGAATAATTGATTTTTCACTGCTTACTCATCAAAAGAAGAATTTCAGCAATGTCTGATGTCAACAGGAAGAACAGAGTTTTCGAGATGAATCGACTTATTGATAGTCCTATTCATAAGTCTGCTTAAGCTATACCGCCATTGGAAACACTGGACGGCCGTTTCGTTATAGTACGGGACTCTCCAGCAGTGTGCCTCCACAATTCCACCCACGGAACTCGAGCCCAGGACCTCCAGTCTCGCGCGAAAATGTTCAACCTCTAAACCATTGAGTCGGCACCTGATGGTGTTAGTGTCTAACTTCGATCAATTCATGATGTTGTGCACACTTCATCCATTGCCTGAGGCAGATAAATGTCTCCACTTGACACGGATTGGACTCCACTGCTGAGAAGTCCTATATTAGGATGAAACGGCTGTTCAATGCTTCCACGTTTTCAATGGTAGTTTAGCTTAGATCAACTCATGAACTCAACTATTAAAATTACTACAATCTCCAGAAATCCCCGCTCTGATAAGAAACGAATTTTGTCCGATGTGTTTTGCTATTTAATAGTGATTCATGAAGGTTAACGTTTTTAAATAGTTGGCAGCTGGAATTATTTTCTTATACTTAACAAAGCAACAAGGAAACTAGATAAAATAACCTCTTTCTACTGTCTCTTGTACAATGTCGCTCTTCAGTAAAATATTTATTCATATATATATATATATATATATATATATATATATATATATATATATATATATATATATATATATATATATATATATATATTGACTTGATGATTGTTGACTGTCAAAAACTTCTTACCTCTTATGAACTAAACCGTTTCTACATTTATACTGGAAAGTAGTGTTCCATTAATGAAGAAGCCCAAATTACACATAACAAATCAGCGACCGATCTTTATCTGTGAAAATCCTTATCCTTTATTTGGTCTATATTTATTACGGGAAGGAATGGTGTGAAACTCAATTTATGTCATTTATTTCCTTCAGTCGGTTTCTTTTACAAATTTTATTAAAGCCAAAACAACAAGTGAATTTATCTTATTTCATGGTTTTTCATCAGCTGCTTAGAACCGTATTCGTATTGAAGTGTAACATTTAGGTATGACATAATATAGGGTGAAAGACATCACAATAAAGATTATCAGTGATAACTATATATAAGTATAAAGGTGAATGCGAGATCGTTTGAAGATCGAATTAGAAAACATATAGGATAAGGGAGTAATTATACAGAGTCTGTAGACTGATAAGATGGATTGTATGATAATTTTACAAAATTTGAAGAGGTACATAAGTTTTAGATCACTAGAAGACAGAGCAATGAAATGGCAATTGTCTAGGATTCGAAATTCGTAAGATAGGTTACGTTTTAATGAATAAGATTTGAATTGTTTAGATAATTTTCGAGAATTGGGTAAGTGAAAAGAATGAATGAATGGATGATTTTAGCGTACATGAAATAGCAATTATTTTAGCAAAGATTGCGTAACATAATGAACACAATAATAATAATTTCGAGTGATTCTAATCAAAATTGTGAATTTACCAAGGGAATGATAAAACTGACTAGTCCTTTTCTAAACACAAAAGTGAAGTTGGGCTTTTTTAAGCCATCGCATCTCTTAGTCCCAAATTCTTTGAAACGTGCTCCGAAATGCGATATTACACTAGTACAAATACAGTTGTAAGCTGCTGATGCTAAACTACGAACTGAAATGAATTCAGAATATTCTACCTCATGGATGGTTTATTTACAACATTAAAGACCAGCTACTAACTAAATTTACTATCGATTGATTTGCGAAAGGATCCATTTTTGCACAGCCTTTTCTCATGAGCACAAGATTTTCTAGTCTTTACCCGAAACAAAGTTACGACCACAGTCGAAACATTATCACAAATACTAAATGGTTTTACTTGAATGGTTATGGTTAGTTTTAAATAAACGGTAGTTCATTTCTCTAAGATAACTCTAGAAGTAGAGTCTACACTGTGTTTTGTCCCTCACAAAAGGCTTGTTATCCATGAACATTTATATTTTTTCTCGTGAATACATCTAGAGCTCATTTGATTTCGAAAAATTTATCTAACAATAACAATGTTACACGAATTTTACTGTAAAGAACACATTATCATTATGATTCTTACATTGGTGCATTTGTATCTACACAGAATCGTGCACGTAAACCTCCTACACGAAAGCCGACCTTGAATCGTTGCTCAGATGTTCCTAATAGACAATCATTTAATACTTCTAGTACTTCAATTATATTTCATCCAAATGATAATTCCCAAATACTCGATGGTTTAACGGAATTTTTCAATCCAAACAGTTAATTGCTGTACAGGTAATTTATTTTTGACTGGTGATAATATGCAAATTATTTAAATTTAAAAAGACTTCCCATCTATTTGATTTTCATTGGTATGCAATCGTTCCCAGCTTGAACATCACAGAGTACATAACCAGTCATTGTTCCTAGCCCGAATTAATTATTGCCCGAAAAGTTTCCTATGTTAATCGTTGTTATTACATTCCTGAATTGTTTTTACACTTGGTTCGGTAGGTGCTGTAGAACACAACGAATAAAGTTCTTAATACTACCTGGGTCTACAGTGAATTGGTAAAACACAGCAACTTATTACTACCATAAAAAAAGAATAGCAAGAAGATTTTATAAGTTGTTCGAAGGACGGCAAAGAAAAACACTCTACTTAGTCATCCGACAAAATGCTTATTAAGATCATGGTTCTTTATCTCACCACTGAACTACACGTTTCTCACGCTTTTCCCATGTTATCAGTCAACTGACTATGGATATTTTCAATGCTTCTCTGTTGAAATCTCAACGGATGTATATTCTCGATAACATATAACTTCTTTAGATTGAACGCACCCCATTAGGTATCTTCTAAAATTCCCATTTTCTTGTCCAGGTAAGAAAGGGATTTACTTTTTCTCCCTACCCGAATGAAAGCTGTCGTCAGTTCATAACAATCACTTTCTTTCTGTTCGACGCATCCTATGGGTTATGGTTAAATATGAGGAAGTGAAAGTTCGAAGTTGATTTGTCTGCTAATGCAAGCCACACAGATATACAAACTACCATCGAATAAATGGTATATTTTATTAAATTTTATCATTAAGACATTTTGAACAAAAGTCTACAGAAATACCTCTTGCAGAACATTTGACTCCTCGAGCGATGTACTTTCCAACTAATGACATGTATAACTAGGTCCACTACGTCGGAATTCCAACAGCTATTGACGACGCGAAGTAAAATGACCAAATATGTAATATATTGGATAAGCTTATTTTAAGTGAATCTCAGTGCTAAAGTAAATCCGAATAGAACGCAGAAGTACAATCCAAGGAAGCGTGTACAATATTCTCAATCAACCCTGAGGCACACAGATAAAACTGAAGATAGAATCAATGAAATTTACCAGCTCTGAAGTCCAGAACGTGTTTTGTCAAACTTGAGACTAGTTAGCTGGATGTAATTTCATCCCACTACCAGCCATATTTTATTTCATATAAACTTGTGATATAGTGACTAACCTCTCAGGATGGAAATATGCTCAATCTGACCTAAATTCAGTCAAAATATCATAAACGGGATACTCCAAATCACTGCATATCAAATTACAAACTGGAGACGTATAATTGTCAAGGATTTAAAAATATGTTTAGGGGTGCATGCGACGGTGCTACTACAGGTCTAATTTTGAAATTAATAAAATAATTCTAGTGTTTTCAAATAGCAGCGTTCAATTAATAGTATTTTTAAGTTAGTCTGATATTTGTCTGTTTGTATAAATATACATTATAGTTGGAATTTAACTGGTAATCCGTGTAGTACGATGCATTGTTAATCATTAGGGATAATTAATTAGGTTTTGTTTGTTCATACAGTGAAAACTATGCTTACTAAGATTTCCAAGAAATATATTTTTCTCTGAAATGTTCGTTTAGAGTTGAGTTAGTTTGTAAACCAACTAAAAGCTTTATGAACAGAAGTTCCCTACTTCTTAAATAATAGAAAGTAAGGAGTGTGATTATTCGATTTTGGAATTTTTATACGTCACTTGTCGACATCACTGAATGCAGTGAATGGATATATCGCATTTCTTGTAATAAGACCAAGCAAGACAAACTTTAAGATTTTTTATACAACCACTTTAAAAACCATCATCTACTAAATTCTGGAGACAAGTATAGGCCGAACTTATCTTCATCTTGTCTGTCAGTCACGTTGGGACTGAAAGCAGATATCAAAAGATAAAAAGACTATTTAGTTTAATTCACTTAGCATCTAACAGTTAGGTTGGTCTATATCTAGTAAAAAAAGCTATGTGCCACCACAATTGATCAGTGGATCATTAGTGTCAGTAAAAGCTTTCCAAGTTGCATGGATTGACTTTTAATGTCAGTGAATTAGATCAGATTTAAAAACTCACATTACACATGTCCTGTTCGAGGTATAAAATGATGTGAAACAAGTATATGCATTCTTAACTAACCATTTCATAAATAAAAGTTACTGAAGTAACCCATGGTGGAAAAGATATGTAGATCAGTTGGATGATGTTGAAGTTTTGTTCTCTGAACTGGATGGTTTGGTCGTGAAGCTTTCATCGTTCTTCTGAACGACATCATCAGCACAAACATGAGGTAGAAGTGAAGTGTTCGAGTTTCTCCACGTGTGGTTCACAACTTGTCCTGTACACCTCAATGTTGATTGGTTCTTGTTGACCTCAAACCTGTCATTGTTTACTTCTTTGTTTTGGCTGTATTTCCGATTGGCTTGATTCTCCTGATTGGTTGATAAATTGGATCGATTTCAATGTGCTTGTTTATTGCTGATTGACTTGAGTGCCAAGCTTCTAAAAACTCTCTGGTGTTTTTAGAATTGCCGCTATCCAAAATCTCTATATTTTTTCAGTCGAATATGCCCGCAGTTGTCCACGTGGATTGATATAAGTGAGGACGTCATGGCGTTTGACTGCTAATTGTGATGTTCATGCAGGCGAAGATGAAGAGGGCGTCCTCTTTATCCGATGTAGTGTTTTTCGTAGTTGGCACAATTTATTTTGTAGATGATGTTTGGTTTGTTTTCTTTTGTCATTTCATCCTTTGGTTTGCATAGGATTGATTATAGGGATTTTGTTGGTTTGTGCACAACACCCATTTCGAAGGTTTTCAGCAGTCTCGTCGTCGTTTCTGATTTGTCTTTTATGTATGGTAGGGTGATCCTTTTGTTGTTTTCTGTACTTGACTTTGTTTCTACTGATGAGTGCAACTGGTATTTTTTTATAAAGTTGATTGGGTAGCCGTTCTTTTGAAGGATAGTTTTCAAGTATTTTTCTTCATTTTCTTCGTGCTGTAATTGTGTTGCAGTGTGTCCTCGCCCTCTTGAACAAGGTTTGTACGTAGTTGATTTTGTGAGCTTTTGGGTTGTTGCTATTGTAGTTGAGAATTTGATCTGTGTGGGTCGGTTTCCTATACACTGGAGTCTCCAGTTTACATGAGTCGGTTCTGGCGATTAATATATCCAAGAATGATAGCTTGTCGTTTGACTCCTGTTCCATTGTGAACTAGATGTCATTGAAGACGTTGTTGATCAGCCTGTATGTGTTTTCTAGCTCATCCTTTTGAAGTAGTCCATTGTGTAATTGAATAAAAATAAAGAGAATTCAGCGGAGAAAAGTTTATTTTCGCAGAAATCATTTACTTAGGACGTACATTCGTATTTATGGTTGTTTGGTAAACACATAAGTCTGTAGAAAGATAGCATTCAAATTTCCAACCATCAAATGGGGTTGTGTAATAAATAATCAGGGCTTAAAAAAGAATAAGAGAATGAAAATAATTTATGGGTCAGAATTGTGAATTATTATCTGTCCACTTGACAGATATGAAGAGAAACGAAAAACACAAAGGTCATAATAATAACTGAATAATAATCATAAGAATTGTTGAAGGATAATAATTTAGTGTCCCGTTATTTTGACGCCAATTAGATCGAACGATGTTATTGACGAGCTCACCACTTTAATGGCCCTTATCTGACTCCAGGTCAATCGTATGAATGATTGTTATTTGAAATATACATATCGTCAATCGGCGTATAAGATTATCGACTTAAATCATTTTAGTAAATAACGGAATTAAATGAGTTAAATACGAGAATGAATTTCGAATGCATGTATTTCATACAATCGCTGATCCAGACAAACGATCGAAGAAACGAAGCAAAGAAAGCAAAGTGAAGAGAGCGGAGCGAGATGACACGCAATGGAGAATGCGTGTGAGCCAACTCAAATTAACCGAGCGTGAATCGATATTTATAGTCACACAAAAATAAAATACAGACATGTGACAAATAGGATAACAAATGTACACATATACTCATGTAAAAACAGTCAAAGTTAATCAGCGAATAACTCACAAGGTCAAAATATGATTTAAGAAGAATGAAAAGATTGGTCTGTTCGGAAAGTAGAATTAGCTATGTGGGCTTGAGATAGCAACCGACACTACAATATGACTGATTACGGTTTAATAAGACTGAAACATACCGTGGAGGGAAGTTAGGGCCAAGCAATGATGACAGGTTGGACGAATCGTTTTTGCACACAGAGTTCGGGCTTGCACTAGTGAATCACCAACGCCTCAGCAGTGCATACGTTTTTGATTCGTTCGCCTTCTATAGTGACCAAGGCCAAGAGCGGAGGCAATCGAATGTATCTGAACACGAAATTACAGAATATCTCACTAAAATCTGAGATCCATACGGTAAATAGTCGATTTGCAAAATATCAATCAATTGACACAACCTTGACTGTTCCTTTTGCAAATCTCAGTCCATCATCTCAGACTTCACTGTTCGTGTATTTTTATATTAATTGCTTTCCGTTCCCGTTGTTTACCTTTCGATCTTCTAGTGGATATAAGTAGCCCACAGTCCACTTCCATCCGGTTCCTTTGATTGTTTGTTATTTTGAAGGAAGACTCCTTCGGAACGACTTGTCCAAAGTTGACCAGGTTTACTGTAATGGACTGGTGATTATTATGTATTCTTCTTTTAAAAATCGCACCGAGTAATACCTTGAGATGCGCTTGGAAAGTGGTAGCTCCGTACGGCCAATGTGACCTGCTCCACAGGAGCAAGAAAATTTATAGATGTACATCGATGTGGCCCAAAGTGGAAGCTTATCCTTAACACATTCGTGAACAGTAGGCTGGTTTAAAAAGACATTTCTAAGCTTAAGCGAATAAAAGGTTTTATCCAGAGAAATCCGTTTATTTCATGACTTCGACGGCCGTATCTCCATTAAATCT